ACGACATTGTAGGTGAAGACGTGTTTAGAACAGGAGGTAGAGGTCGTCCACAAAAACAATATAAGGTCCGGTTTGCTTATCAGGAACCAGAGGACGACCGCTCGTTTACTAGAACGGAACTTCTAGAAACAGCTCCCGACATAGTTAGAGCCTACGAGAGAGATAAGAAAGGTAAAGGTCCTGCCTTGGACTGAGCTATTCTCGGAGGACCTCGAATTTAGGCCGGCGGCCCGGCGGCGGGAGTGAAACGGTATTCACCTGCTAGCAGTAGCGAATGCAGATCCCAGGGCTCAATCCCTAGACTTTACCTTACCTGTGTACAGTACCTGCGTCGACCCCGAGAGTTGAACCCGTGACCTGTGTGTTCGTAACAGTTGGTAGACTGTTGTAGGGTCCGTAGGTTGTAGGGGTTCGATCTGTAGACCTGTTGGATAGAGGTCTTAGTGAATTCTAGAAGTCGTAGCTGTAGGACTCCTGAAAGGTCCAGGTCGTAGCTGCTACAGTCCTGAAGGGTCAAGGTCGTAGCTGCTACAGTCCTGAAGGGTCAAGGTCGTAGCTGCTACAGTCCTGAAGGGTCAAGGTCGTAGCTGCTACAGTGTCGAAGGGCCAAGTCCACAGGCCTTTAGGCTGAAAAGACACAGGGCCTGGAGGGCCCTTATTTTCCATCTGGTCGGGCCCTGCAGGCCCGTGTGGATGCGCAGTATGCCACAGGGAAGCAGTGATGAAGAGATGGGAACGAACTAGAACAACCAAACAGCGCACCTAAAAGAGAAGGACTTGTCACCAACTCTCCTGTGAATGGCCAGGGGATGACCAACGGGGGTATGGAGAAGGGTCAGGATTTCAGAGGAGAGGCGAACGGGCTGTGTTTCAAGGAATTAACCAGGGTGGACTATCCTCTAACTCATCCATCGTTTCCGCCACTCTCTCTCTCTCTCCAACGCTACTCTAAGCTCCTAACAGTGCCCAGCGCTGAAGACTACTCCTAGCGCTACTACTACTACTGCAGCGCTCCTGCAGAGTGCTGCTGCCGAATCCTGAAGACAGCCTCCTGCCTCCTGCACTTGAAGTGTCCATGAACTGCCTGGGAAGTCCCCGTGAACTCCCTGCAGCTTGCAGGGGGGGGCAGTACTGTATAGTGCTGGCCCGTACGGGAGGCTGCGCTTGCCAATGCCGAAAGGTGCCAGACCCTGGCGTTGAAGTTCAAACAAAGGTTGTCTTGAAACAGGCCCAAAAATGGCCTGTGCTAAACCCTGGTCTGGCGCCTAAGTATCAGGGGGTCGACTTTATGAGGGCCTGAAAATGGCCCTCCTTTTCAGGCTTTTAGGCTGAAACGACACAGGGCCTGGAGGGCCCTTATTCTCCGTCTGGTCGGGCCCTGCAGGCCCGTGTGGATGCGCAGTGTGCCACAGGGAAGCAGTGATGAAGAGATGGAAACGAACTAGAACAACCAGACAGCGCACCTAAAAGAGAAGGACTTGTCACCAACTCTCCTGTGAATGGCCAGGGGATGACCAACGGGGGTATGGAGCAGGGTCAGGATTTCAGAGGAGAGGCGAACAGGGCTGTGTTTCAAGGAATGAACCAGGGTGGACTATCCTCTAACTTATCCATCTGGTCTTGTGTTGAGTTTGGACTGGCCTTGACGCCCTGGAGCAACCAACGGACTGGACTCAACACCCTGTGTGGTAACCTAGCCGTGTGTTGAGTTCAGTAATAGTGCAATCTTATCATTCTCTTCATCGCCCGCCCGGAACTTCGAGTATGCTACCGCAAGTTCATGTGTGAGTTCGATCCCTCCTTCACCGGCCTCCTCTAGGTACCAGTCTCCATCAGACTGCCTCAGATATAATATCTGCAGTATATGGTTGCCAGCCCTGAGGCTCTGGAGTATCGAATGGAGGGGAGAAGGTTCGCAATGGAAGGGGAACACGGTCTTATGGCCAGAAGAAAAGGACTCGGCTGATGGTGAATGGAGGATGATATGTTGCAAGGCCACTCATGTGTGGCATCCTCTCGGATCTTACCTGCAGCCTGCTTTCTCTAAAGAACTGGTGGTAATGGCTCTAGGTTTTGAATCATGACTGTGTCAATACCCGATGGGTATGGTAGAGCAAGTGGCCTTGCCATACTCCACACCTCTGATGCACTGCTCACTGCCAAACCACTAGTGCAGTGATAGCGACTCCCTGCCAAGCAGAATAAAATGCTGCCTCTCGACCTCTATACCACCAGGTTTGACTACTGGGTAACAAGGACTGATAGAGACCTTTCACCGGCCTCAGCTAAAGGATGGACGGCAGCAGGCTGGCTTTCTCAGCTACAACGACTGAAAAAGTGGCTCCTATGGCCACTACTGCAGTCATTGTGTTACATACTTCAATGAGTATGGGCAGAACCCAAGATCAACCAATGTAGGATGAGCATATATGCAGCGGAAGTCTGATAAACGGACTGACTCACATAGACTGACTCACATATATATCACTCCACACACATACGATCGTGAGATGGTGGGGTCTGAGCCATACATGGACGATGCTCAGCCCCGTACACACATGCACAGATGAAGGTGGGAGGAGAGACGAAGAAGGTGGGAGATGTAGGTAGCACCAAATGTCACCGAGATAGAAACCAGTAGGTCACCGATATGGTAATCCAAAATGTCATCGAACAAGATCAAAATGTCGAGGACAATAAGTCACCAATGTCGGAGATACAGAGTCCTAATGTAACCGGTGTCAAATCTGTGATGCAGCCGAGTATCATCCCCAACAATCTCCAAGTCTCGAAMCCGGTAAGTACCAMAGCCTCTTAMCACCRAAGTCCAACTCTGATCTCTGTCCAACTAGTATAAGTCTCCAGTCTGAAGAAGAAGAAGAAGAAGAAGAAGAAGAAGAAGAAGAAGAAGAAGAAGAAGAAGAAGGAGAAGAAGATGAAGTCTGAAGAGAAGGAGAAGAAGAAGAAGAAGAAGAAGAAGAAGAAGAAGAAGAAGAAGAAGAAGGGGTCCGAGGAGGAGAGAGAGAGAGTGGGGACTGGCGATGAGAGGGAGGAGAGAACCTCCGACTCCCGATACCTCAGGCGGCTATGGCCGCCGATATGCTCAGTCGCCGCTGCTGCTGCTCCGCTCCCTGCTGCTGCGCTAATGCTGCGGCTGCCGCTGCTCCTCGTGCTCCTGCGCTAAGAATAGCACCTGCGCTGTCGCGCCGTACCATACCGCACCGCTAGAGTGTCGGTGGGTCGATCCCTGAAGTGAGGCCGGACCGGTCTTTTGTACCGGTGGGGCAGAGGCCGGGCTCAATGCTGCGAGGCCTGGCCGTGCCCTGAACCGTCAAGATGGACGGTTCAGCCCAACCGGCGGGCGGCAGCCTCAAGAGCGCCGCCAGGCCCAAACGGTAATGTCATTTGGGCGTGCCCGTCGGATCTGGTCCAAAGTGAGGCCTTTTCGGCCTTAGTACCCCCAAGGTCGGGCCTTTAGGCCCTACTGTGTCCCTCTGGCCCTAAGTCGGGTCCGGTAGGACCCGTGTGGCGTCGAAGATCTAACAGATACTGGACTTGCAAAAGGACTTGCAAAAGGATTTTGGAAATATGGCCCGTGCGCCAGGGTGCCACACATCTACCATATTCGGCCCAGCCAGGCGTCATTTTAGCATACAGCAGAACTGAACAACGTCATAATAGCAGGAACCACCTGCAATGTCTGCATTTATCTGAGAAGTCTTCATAGATAGTATTGATCAGCCAAGAAGATACAGGGGGCTGCAGACACCTGGGAGTAGCCACAGGAAGATCAGTTATCCACTTCTAGGTGGGGGCTGGGTCAGTTGTTAAGTAGGAGCCCCGCAATGGGAACGGGACAATTTGCAGCTCCAAGGGATACTGGGTGCTCCTGAGTAGAACAGAACAATGACTATAGCCTCAACATGGACCCGGTTTCCAGCAGGTGTCGCTCCCCACCAATAGATGGAGCAGCCCAACAAAAAAAAAAAAGAAAAAAAAAAAAAGGAAAAAAAAAGGGGGCAAACAAAAAAAGCAATAAAACTGTAATGAAAGGGTATGCGCCACTACCATAGCGCCGTTCTAAGCCGTGCCAGCAAAAAAACAAACATGCCGAGTGTGTACCACTCCGCAGAGGCTTTTTTTTTTTTTACCTCTTTGGCTCTGTACACATTCAGTACTAGGGCCAGGTCCCACTACCGTCTTTTTTTTTTTTTTTTTTTTTGTCCCACTATCGTCTTTATATGAATACAAGGTACGTACCTTGTAGAACGAATTTTAGGATGTGACTTTCCTAGGCAAGGGGGGGGGGGGAGGAAAGTACACAGTAAATATTAGTAATAATATCACGAATAGAACGCAATGGACTGTTACCAGGATGGGGCTGCAGCATGAAGTTCTTTTTTTTTTAAAGAGCACATTGACTGCGCTGTATGCTCACGATCCAGCATGCATTCGAATGTTGTGTGTGTTTGAGTGTGTGTGTGTGTGTGTGTGTGTGTGTGTGTGAGAGAGAGAGAGAGAGAGAGAGAGAGAGAGAGAGAGCATAGTGCCCGTGTGTGGAAGCAGGTGGGTGTGTGGACAGCACACGCCACACACACACACACACACACACACACACACANCCTGAAGTGAGGCCGGACCGGTCTTTTGTACCGGTGGGGCAGAGGCCGGCCTCAATGCTGCGAGGCCTGGCCGTGCCCTGAACCGTCAAGATGGACGGTTCAGCCCCAACCGGCGGGCGGCAGCCTCAAGAGCGCCGCCAGGCCCAAACGGTAATGTTGTTTGGGCCTGCCCGTCGGGTCTGGTCCAAAGTGAGGCCTTTTCGGCCTGTAGTACCCCCAGGGTCGGGCCTTTAGGCCCTACTGTGTCCCTCTGGCCCTAAGTCGGGTCCGGTAGGACCCGTGTGGCGTCGAAGATGTAACACACTCCCCCTCTTAAAAGTCCGAGCTACCTGCAAGGGCGAAGTTGTCTGTCCGATACCGGGGTGGGTCGGGCGGGACGAGCTGCTTCCTTAGCAAGGCGTCGCTTCTCATAGTTGGCGAAGATAAGGGGTCCAGAAGTCTGCAAATCTGTACTGGAGATCCACCGAGTGTCATCAGGCGCACATTGTTTGAATGTGACTTTGAACTGCATTGGCTTGTTGCCATACTTGCAATGCGTGATGACTCGGTCGACTTCCTGATGTCCGTCCATAGAAGGCGGATCCTGTGATCGACGGCCGGGAAACTCGTCGGCGGAAGGTGGCGTGTAGATGGCCAGCTTCGACGCGTGGAAGACCCGGTGCACTGGAAGGTGCGGAGGAATGTTGACCACAAAGGAAGGACCTGCGGGGTCGTCTCCAACGACAGAAGTGACTTCCCATGGTCCGAACCATTTCGGAAGGAGTTTGCGCGAAACGTCTTGCTCGAGAGCAAATTCCTCGGAGAGGACCCAAACAAGGTCTCCCTCGCGGAAAGGACATGGAAGTCGACGTCGGTTAGCCTGCTGCTGCATGCGGACCTGAGCCTTTTGCATATTCGCGCGGGCTTTGATCAGCAAGTCCCGGTACTTCCGAACGGAAGCGGGAGAGCAAGGGACGTCTATGTCGGCAGCCTGTGGCAAAAGGAGATCAGCGAAGATCCGTGCTTTCTCTCCACCATGATGTAGCTCGAATGGTGTGACGCAGATCGCCGGGTGCACCGAAGTGTTATAGGCGAACTCGATGTCGGGAAGCCGGTCAACCCAATCTTTCTGGTCGGGACGGATGAGCGTACGCAACATCATCTGAGCGGTCTGGTGCGCTCGCTCCGTCTGGCCATCCGTCTGCGGGTGCCGAGTCTAGCTCGGCTTCATTGTCGTACCGGACTAAGCCATGAGGGAAGTCCAAAAAACCGACATGAAGCGAGTATCTCGGTCGCTCACTATGTCTTCCGGAACACCCTGGTTGGTAATCCAACCGGTGTGCAAGAGTCGTGCGAGCTCAGGCGCTACAGCATGATACTTGCAAGGAAGGAAGCGAGCATACTTGCTCAAACGGTCAACGACCGTGAGAATACCGTCATGGCCGTGGCGATCACGGGGGAACGGGCCTGTCACGTCCATAGCAATGGAGAGGCGCGGTGCCCGAGGAATCGGCAACGGTTTCAGTTCGCCGAAGGGGACTCGAGATCGACCCTTGTTACGGTGGCAAACTGCACATGACTCAATGTACCTCGTAACGTCATGAAGGACGTCGGGCCAGTGAAAACGCCGCCGGAGGCGTGCTAATGTGCGGTTCACGCCAAGGTGTGCCGAAAGTCGTGCCTCGTGGAATTCGCCGAGAAGACGAGTCCGTAAGATGCAATCTTGGGGCACAACTAACAAGTCCTTTCCTCTCGCGTGAAGGAGAAGGAACCCGTCGAAAATCCGATAGTGGCTAGCCAGCGGGTGATCCGATGAAAGCTCCGCGTAAAGCGTAGAGTAAGTCGGATCGGACTTGTAGCCTTTGACGAAATGCGGCTGCAGATCGTCATCGAGGTCGAATGTCGTGGTCACTATGGCACAAAAGTCGGGCCGTCGTGAGAGGGCGTCCGCAGCTCGATTGGCGGGACCGAGAATGTGGCACGGGTCAAAGTCGAACTGGTCGATGTAATACATCCGTCGACCGATCGTGCTAGTGACCGTATCCTGCGTTTTGTAAAAGGTCAACGGATTGTTATCCGTATTCCATTTAAAACGTCGACGGCCGAGAAGAAAGTGGCGCCACCGTTTGAGAACGGTGACGAACGCGAGTAGCTCTTTCTTCCTAGCGTCGTCGAGAGTGTTTACGAGAGGCACCTTTTGGGAGAAGTRCTCGACCGGATGCCAACCGTCCTCGTGACACTGTTCCAACACCGCACCGATACCGTATCCCGAAGCGTCCGTAGTCACTTGGGTGGGAAGGGTGGGGTCATATATACGGAGGGCATGTGGGGCTTGCATTGCTGCCTTCAACGTAGTGAACGCGCCACGGGCTGCGTCGTCGAACTCGAAGGGCACCTTAGGGGACTGAAGTCTCGACAAAGGAGCGGCCACTTTCGAGTATGACTCGATTAATTGCTGATAATATCCAGCCAAACCCATAAAAGAGCGTACATCCGTCGTGCAACGGGGTTCCGGCCAATCCACGATGGCTTGGATCTTGTCCGCTAAGGGACGAATGCCTTTCGGCGTGACAAAATGACCCAAGTACTCAAGCTCCTGCTTGGGGAACTCGCACTTGTCGAGATTCGCTTTGTACTTGGCTAGTCGCAAACGATCCAGAACAATGCGAAGGTGTACGATGTGCTCGTCCAACGTCCTACTGTAAACCAAGATGTCATCAAGGTAGATGAGGACGCTGCGATCGAGCAAGTCGCGAAACTCAGTCGTCATCACTGCTTGGAAAGTCGCGGGGGCGTTGGTGAGGCCAAAAGGCATGACAACCCACTCAAAATGTTCGTACCGCGTCTTGAACGCGGTCTTGTACCGATCTTGAGGCTGGATGTCAATCTGGTGGTAACCCGACTTCAAGTCCAACTTCGAGAAGATCATCAATCCGAGGGAGAGGGCCGGCGTTCTTTACGGTTTGTGCGTTAAGTTTACGATAATCGATGCATAACCGTAGATCTTTGTTCTTCTTCCGGACGAAGAGAACAAGGGCACCATAGTGCGAACAACTAGGGCGAATCCAACCCTTGTCAAGAAGGTCATCGAGTTGTGCGCGAAGCACCTCGAGTTCCTCTTCGCTCATGCGGTAGAGGCATCCACGCGGAGGGACGACGCTAGCCTCGAGAGTGATCCCGTGACGTATGGGCTGATCCGGAACCGTTCCGATGGGAGCCTCGAAGACGTCTCTATACTCATCCAAGAGGTGAGAAATGCGTGGGTCCGGCGGTGACGCGGCTGGTCCATCCGGCAAGGGGAGAGCATGCAAGAATACAAGGCCCATCTCCTCGATGTCATTCCGAGCAATGGCGTCGCGAATTCTCGCAACGGAAACCACGTGACAAGCAATCGAAGTGTGAGGGGTTGCGACCGTACATGGGACTAACACTCCGTTCCGATCACGGATGTGAACGGTTCGGTCATGAAAGTTCACCGGATGATCGGCGCTACGCAACCAAGACATGCCTAGAATCATGTCGAACTTGGTGTCGAGGATGTCAAAAGACACCGGCTCGCACGCAAGTGGCGCAAAGTATACCGGAACGTCGTCGACGCATCGGTCAATTGACTTTTGCGTGCGGCCGTCCGCGAGTGTGACTTGCGTGGGTTGCGTTTTCCTTCGAACGCGAGGGCCATAAAGGCTTGGCTCATAAAGTTGCGAGACGCTCCGCAATCAATCAAGGTACACAGGTTGCCTTTCCGATTTGAATGCGGATATAGAGCAAAGGCGCGTCGGTTTCGGCGTACCTTTGGGAGGCGTACTCGCGGTCAATCTTCGCAAGATAGGAGCGGAGATCGACAACCGCTACCCCGTCATCCGTCAACGGAGCTGGTACTGTAGTGTGCAAATAGGAGYGTARAKTTGCCATCAAGGCGTTGCAATGCGGCCTTGGCAAGGTTCCGGTCGAGGGTAGAGGCATCCAAGCGAAGTCCTCTCTCGTGAGCGGGTCAAGCTCCTCAAGTCTTGACCACGCCGTCGAGTCCCCGGAAATCAGTGGCGAGCTGACCGGATCACTTGCCGCCGGTGTACAGGCTGCGCATACGCAAGCTAAGTGCACGTGGCTCGGCTGGTCTAGTGGTGGTACCAGCTGGGCGGCATAATCCTCGTACGTAGCACGAGAATCAGCGACTGACGCATGCTCCCCGGTAGTGACATCGATTGCTAGCAAGGCAACCGGTTCCGGCGGAGTGAGGAGAGGCGTCGCCCCTCTCCTTGTGTAACTCAGTTTCCCAAGTTAGTTGGGCGGGGTACGCGTGCCTTGCCCTTGTCCGGGGATTGTGCGGTAGTGTGTACGACACTATTGCACCATAGGCAATAACCGTACCGTTGACGTAAGTCAAATACTTCCTTGGTTGTCTTCTATGCCGTCCATGGCTGCTGCCCAGTTCCCGTCGATGTCGTCTCTTGTGTCGCCTTGTTCTTCCGAACTCTCTTGGGACGCTTCGGCGGGAGCGCTGCTACAATTCCTCCATCACTCGAGGATGCTGCTGCAGCGTGGAGATCGACTGTTTCTTCAGAAATCACAGCATTGTTATGTGCTGGTCGCTGATAGGCCGGCTTAGCCACATAGTGCGGCTGGGACTGCTTCTCGTTGGCGGCCTTGTCGTCCGTTTGGATGACCAGGTTTGGGTGGTCCAGAATAGCCTGGAACGAGGTATAGTCGTACTCGTTGCCGAGTGCCGACCGCAATCCTGCGCATGATCGCGAGAAGAACTCGGATCGTTGGTTTGTAAAACTCAAATCGAAGCCTGGCGTGGTCACTATCTTCTGCCACTTAATCGTCCAGTCTCGAGTTGGCATATTTCCCTGTGAGCAAGTGTACACCTCGTTCATGGCCACCTTCACGACGTTGCGGACCATGAATCGGGTGATCCATAGTTGCTCGAACTCCTTCCACGTAATGTGCGTGTGGAGTTCGGCGATAGTGCATTTCTTGGTAGCCGCCAGGTGATTCATCCATGCCTGCGCTCCGCCAATCAGTTGTAGGTAGAGCGCCTTCAACATGTCTTCAGCCGGGACAGTGCGGCAGGATGCTTCCGTGAGGAAACCTTGCCACCATGTCAAAGCTTCGGTCTTGTTGTAGTCGTCGAACTTGCTGATGGTGAACTGCGGCATCTTGAAATTCTTGGTAGCGGCGTCCGGTCTCGTCTGCAGCTTGGTGATGTCCGTTTTGATGGCGGCCACCGTGCTACTGATTGTGTCCGGCCCATTGAAAACACCTATGTCGCCGATGAGATTGACGACATGATCGATGCGCTCATTGAGCTACTTCGTCATGTCTGTCGTGTCTGTCGTGCAGCCTGGCGCTGCTTGGGGAGGCCTTGCCTCCAAGGTAGCAATGCGTGCATCCAGCTGTTTCAGCTGGTTGTCCGCGACCTTGACAGCTGCTGCAAGCGTCTTCACGTTGTGGTTCAGATCGTGCTGCAGCTGCCGTGTGGACTGGGAATGCAGCTCCCCCATGGTGCTGTTCCAAATGACGGCGCGCATTGTATTGAGTAGAATATCTGCCAGGTCTTGCCTCTCCTGTTGCACTGTCGTTGGCTCGCTGCCGGGTACGGGGACATAACGCATCCCGTTGAGTACCGCTGTCCATTGTGCTTGATTAGCAATTACAAGTTCAGCGCTGTCGGCGTTGAGCTGATCGATCGCCAACTGGTCTGCCTCAGCTTGACGCCGGGTTTGAACTGCAGCTTCCTCTGCTAGCCGTAGTCTTTYGGCTGCRGCAGCCTYTTGCTGTTCCTTGACAYGGGTGAGTGCGGCTGTATAGTCCTGCATTCTCTGAATGAAGTCCGGGAGGGGCTCATTCGACCCTTGCACCRGACAGACCGGTAAGGGTTCGGCATTACTAGCTGTYGAACCYTCGGATAATGRTCCGCTGTGTGGCGTGTTCGCYATCTGAGTACTGGTCTGTGGCGGTTGTTGAGCTGGAGGKTGCTGTTGCTGTTGGAGATYGGCGATCCTCTTGCTGCGTCGTGGCTGCTGTTCGGAGGCTGGCCCTGCTGGCATCAGGAACTGCTGCTGAAGGCTGGCTCGTCCGAAGGATCGCAGAACAGTGTGAGGGAGAGGGTGGGCACAGGGATAGAACAGATCAAGCAATATACATACAGTCCCTGTCCTAAGGATGGACTTAGACACCTAATCAAGTAGAAAAATAAATTTTCCCGTAAACAGCTCGAAAATTCGTAATAAGAAAAATAATAACGAATTATTTAATCAATAAAGATTAATAACGAAATAATAATTCTTAATGATAATCAATAAACAATATTTGCAATAATGATCATGAACGAATTTGAATTGTATCAAGATTAGGTATCCGTTGAGATCATCTTTGAGTCCGGGAGTTCACCGTTAATTAGTGAACTACCCGGAAGTTGCAATGTTGAGGGTCAGATTCGGATTAGTTTGCCAAAAACATTTTTTCAGAAAAATCAGGAGAAAAAACACTCGAATTTTCAGAAACGTGAGATTTCGGGAATTTCCACCGCAAAAATCCGTTTTTTTAAGGCCTAAATCCGTTTTCGGAATTTCCAAAACAAGGGAAAGAAAAAAAAATTCGCGAAAATTTCGGGCCCAACCCTAATTTTCCTCAATTCGGCGGAATTTCTGGATTTACGGTCCCAAAACGTTCGAATTCCCCAAGTTGGTTGAAAACCAAAAAAATTTCGTAACCCTAATTTCCAATACTGCAATAAAACGGAAATGCCGATTTTGCAAACGAAATACAGGATTAAAATCAGAATGCTGAATTCTAAAACGGAAACTGAAATGAAAATCAGAATGCCGAATTAGACACTCACTGATTTCAACATAATCGTGAATCACTAATCAGAAATCCAAATTAGACAGAATGTCGGATTAGTATCAATTTATCGGAACTCGAATTAAACAGCCTACCGTAGTAAAACAGAAATCCGGATTACAAGTCTGAATACCTATTTGAATGGAAATGCCGAAACAAACAGAATACCAAAAAAAAAATTAAAAAAAATTGCAACTTTGAACTCGATAGTAATTCAGAGCTGATTTGGACGATTGAAAAAGCAATCTACTTCCTAAACAGACTTACCTGGTGAGCAGATCCGTGAAATGGTCTGCTCCGATACCAAAACTGTTACATACTTCAATGAGTATGGGCAGAACCCAAGATCAACCAATGTAGGATGAGCATATATGCAGCGGAAGTCTGATAAATGGACTGACTCACATAGACTGACTCACAGAGACATCACTCCACACACGTACAATCGTGAGATGGTGGGGTCTGAGCCATACATGGACGATGCTCAGCCCCGTACACACATGCACAGATGAAGGTGGGAGGAGAGACGAAGGAGGTGGGAGATGTAGGTAGCACCAAATGTCACCGAGATAGAAACCAGTAGGTCACCGATATGGTAATCCAAAATGTCATCGAACAAGATCAAAATGTCGAGGACAATAAGTCACCAATGWYGGAGATACAGARTCCTAATGTAACCGGTGTCAAATCTGTGATGCAGCCGAGTATCATCCCCAACAATCTCCAAGTCTCGAACCCGGTAAGTACCACAGCCTCTTACCACCGAAGTCCAACAATGATCTCTGTCCAACTAATATAAGTCTCCAGTCTGAAGAAGAAGAAGAAGAAGAAGAAGAAGAAGAAGAAGAAGGAGAAGAAGAAGAAGTCTGAAGAGAAGAAGAAGAAGAAGAAGAAGAAGAAGAAGAAGGAGAAGGGAGCCGAGGAGGAGAGAGAGAGAGGGGACTGGCGATGGGAGGGAGGAGAGAACCTCCGACTCCCGATACCTCAGGCGGCTATGGCCGCCGATATGCTCAGTCGCCGCCGCTGCTGCTCTGCTCGCTGCTGCTGCGCTAATGCTGCTGCTGCCGCTGCTGCCGCTGCTCCTCGTGCTCCTGCGCTAAGAATAGCGCCAGCGCTGTTGCACCGTACCATACCGCACCGCTAGAGTGCCGGTGGGTTGATGGCCTGAAGTGAGGCCGGACCGGTCTTTTGTACCGGTGGGGCAGAGGCCGGCCTCAATGCTGCGAGGCCTGGCCGTGCCCTGAACCGTCAAGATGGATGGTTCAGCCCCAACCGGCGGGCGGCAGCCTCAAGAGCGCCGCCAGGCCCAAACGGTAATGTCGTTTGGGCCTGCCCGTCGGGTCTGGTCCAAAGTGAGGCCTTTTCGGCCTGTAGTACCCCCAAGGTCGGGCCTTTAGGCCCTACTGTGTCCCTCTGGCCCTAAGTCGGGCCAGGTAGGACCCGTGTGGCGTCGAAGATGTAACACATTGCCTGTCGTTAAACCTCCAGTTCCCAGGATAGTTGATGAGGCTACCTTACAAGGTTCGCGAGCCTGCAACTGCACATTTTCAAAGTGGCCTGCTGCTTTTGCGAATGGCCCAGGCCCTAATCGAAATGCTCTTACCATGTATAATACCGGTAAGAGCACTACTTAGGCTCGTGTGAACTGGTGGTTTAAAGAAACTACACTGTTACTACAGCCTAAAGGTAAAAAGGAGAGAGCCCTCTGCAGCATCTGTGTTCACTTGAGAATTGATGATTTGCAGCATATATGGCTGCAAAAGTGCATGCAAGGACGTTCTGGAGCTGGTCATGAAATGCAGTGGGCCCGCATTTGCTATGGTAGTACGGTGCGGACTGACAAGTTTAGTTCGCTGGGCAGGATTGCTCACCAGCCTGTCAGGGTTATGCTGAGGAGGTGGTTCAGCTGAGGTGATCTTGTGGACATTGTGGGCATTTTGAAAACTCGAAAAGATGGGGATTGATTAAAGGGGACTCCATCTAATACTATTGTTGCATAACAAAAGGCTCAAGGAGTTCCGTCGAGCGCAAGTTCTCCAAAGAAGTGTTGCTGCCTTACATGGGAGCAGTATGTGCAAGAGCGAATGCCGAACGACACACACCTCGAAGAGACAAATGACTGTATCTGAAGAGGAGGAGCCCTCTGACAGCATTGTCAGGCGAAGGTGATTGGAAGCAGAGCGGTAAGATGAGAGAAGTTCAGGTAGGAGGTTCAACGGGATGATGCAGGATGCAGAACCTCGCAAAGTAAGCAGCGAGCATATGTCTCTAAGACTTACCTACCGTCATCAGCCACACAGAACATGTGGTCAGTATAGCTGTACTTGGGGGTAAATTTCAGTCTAGATACAGCCATAATTACCAGGTGCTAGATTCAAGTGTGCCAATCTGATTTAAGTTCATTAAACTACAAAGCACACAGCTGAGGAGATCATGGGGAGCACCTTAGATCCGAACGTCCACTCCGAATAAACAAGATAAAGGCCTGGGCAACAATGGCGGTAGTTGCCTTCGTAAGAAGATAGGTAGAGTTTTCGGTCTCGAGAGGAAGTGATGTTTTGTCCCATATCTATCAACTAAGTAAACGGACTTTGCAAAACAAACGATAAAAATACCGAAGACAAACATGAAGAGCGCACTGAAAACGTTCGTTCTTTTCATCATTTCTTCATTTAGCTCCGCCTTTACTGTGCCTCTCACGTACAAGGCTTGATATATGCTTCACTGCGTTAAAAAAAAAGTTGTTCGTGATGTGCCAAGTTGCGAACGACGTGCAATGTGATCCCCTGAATAGAAGGATCCATTGCCACAGGCCATGACTTTCAGCACCTGATCCCTGCTCCACCCCCTTTCCTTCCCCTCCGTCCCCTCGCCCTTTTACGAGCCACTGAGGCTGATACTCCTACTATCGGGGAAGTAATACTGCAGAAAAGAAGATCATTTGCGATGTTGAATAAAAAATATTACAACTCACTATACCCCCAGTGCACAAGAAGAGAAAATCACTCCAAGACAACTGCACAACTGAATCTCAAACGAATGGTACAATGACTACACAGAGTCGGTGCAGATAATTCCTACCTACTTCAGGCCTCTTGTGCCACTTTACTCTGTTGCGTCAGTCTTTTGCTGCTGTGCTGTGTATGCAACCCAGTCGTTGTGTGAATGGCTGCAGACCAACGACTGCTTGCCTGTCAACCAGCACAATCTATGCTTACAATATAACCGGCGCCAGATAGCACAGCTTATACCAGAATGCACAAACTTCCTTCCCATAGCTAACCCAGAAACTATCAGCAATCACCACCTTGCTTACCTTCTTCCTCTTGCTCTCTTTCACAATTCTTCAGAGTTTAAACCATGCATTTCTATAGCAAAACTAGAACAGGACAGACCTCAAAAGTCGTCAGGTTTTGGAAAAGCACAGACAACCAAAAGACCAATGCTGATCTTCCAAGTATCAGCTTGCCTGGTGGGTCCCGAAATCACTTGCTCAGTGCCATTCTGGTTACCACACATGTCACCACAACTTAGATTGATAGGTTCCCTCATGGTTAGCCACATGGTTAGCCACATGGTTAGCCACATGGTTAACCGCATGGCAACCACGTCAGTACCACATGGTTACCTCAAGCTTAGCCACATAGTTAGCACATAATTACCGCATGGTTGCTGGACAGTTAATAGCGTCTTCAACCGAATAGAACAACCCATCGTTATAACTGTATTTAGTGAAACGTTTAGTCGAGATACAGCAATAATGAACGGGTGTTCTATTCGGGTTGAAGACTGTAGGTGGGTCAGTCCCTTAAGACCACTTCATTTCAGCCATATGTAACCAGATGATTTCAGCCATACGTGCACACATGATTTCCCTCGTATGTGACAACCTGATTTCAACAGTGTGCGGCATTGTGGAGAGAAGCGGTTAGCACGGTTGGCCAAGAGATTTGTACAATGTCAGCACGGAACTTGATCTTTCAAACGTTCAGCAAGACAACATTAGATGAACAGTGGTGAGGAAAAGACAAATCAAATTAGATGGATATGACGGAATGTGAAGATCCCCGCATGACAGGTAGGATGTGCTTTCTGGTTCAGCCACTTAAACGAGCAGTACGTTTCACAACCATTTTTCTCCGACGCAGCCATGCTCGTGCTGCAAGTTCTGGCAAAATGGCTGGCGGCACCAGCCAAATGAAGGCCCGCGCCGTTTCATTTTCTGGGGGGTGCGCAGGGTGGTTCCAGGCTCCGCAAGGGAAAGGGTCAAACGTGCTGGCGGTTTAATTCTGCTCCACAGGAGTGGAGCCGAAGGAGGGTGGGCAACTGTACCTAACCTGCAGGCTGGATGGCACATACCGATGCCTGTAGTGCAGGCAATCTGGTCTAAACCACCACGAGCTTGACAGGTGGTCTCCCTGTGTTTATTCAGAAAAGAAGGAAAAAGGGGAGTGTCTGTACCTCAGAAAGGGTTTCCATCATTTGCAGTTTCTTCTTCTCCTGTGCATTAACGAAGTCCTCAAGCGGGAATAACACACCCTTTTGAATCTCGTGAAGTCGCAGTTCTGTCAACATATAGCACAGCTGCAGCCATCAACCCATCAACGACCCCCCACAATTAAAAACAAAACCATGAGTTAGGATGAAGTTTCCCAAAGAGGCAAACAACTTGAGGCAAAATTCAAAGTCCACCCCCACTTCCAGACATATAAACATCAGAAATCTTCCAGAAGACTTATCTGAGGGCTTGCTCACATCAGGACCTTCCTCGACGCATTTGACTGCAATTACATCCAGATTCACTTTGAAAAAACAACTATTATATGCCCTAAATCTCTCCTCATCCCGCTGCAAAGCTGGGTGCACAAAGGGAACGGAGGTAAGGTTAGTCAGAGCCTCCCCAGAATTGAATGGAGCCATGACCAAAGGGTCGAAAAGAAAAAAAAGGTTAGCCATCCTCATGTTTACCAGGCTATGTTGGATCTCAAGTTCATCGTACTTTTTTTTTTTTTTGTGAAAGCAACTTTTGTATGAATGAGGCTGGAAGCCGGGTCCAGCGTACCTTACATCAGATGTACTTGCTCATCACATCTCCCTATTATGGTCGACAGATCCTGATACATCGGCATTGATTGCGACCCAATTGGGGGGATTTACCACTGCTCCATCCCTGTGTTTCAATGCTACCTGTGCCTGCTAGGACTAGAAAGGATCTTGACACCTGCTTTCCTGTTCCCTGCCTATCCTGTTTCTGGGGAAACGTGGTCTTCAGCTGCTGCCCAATTGTGACCTTTGCCGGGAAGGTCCCTCTCGGACCACTGTAATGATATGCCAGAAATAGACTATTACTCCACCGGGCACCTAACTTCGATGTTCCTCGCCGCAATTTCGGCATTTTTCGAACTGAAATCGTCAGGGCTTACTGGGTTCCCGGCAGTAGGACCTGATGATTTCAGTTCAGGAAAACGCCGAAATTGTGGCCAAGAACGTAAAAGTTAGATGCCCAAAGTGGCAAAGCTAGGACACCACCTACCGTCTTAAACCACCGCTACCCCCGATGTCGTAAAGTCGATTTTCCGGGGAGTTGGGGCCGTGAACGGCGCCGGGTCGGCAACCAAAAAAAAAAAAAAAAAAAAAAAAAAAACGAAGTTGTGAAAAAGTCGGCGCGCAGTTTTCAATTCAGGCGCTGGGAATGGGACTTGGGGGGCTCCCGAAAACTGCAGGTCTGGCAGTACACAGTAAAGGCTGGCTACAGAACAGCAAGGAAACCGGCACACATAACCGAACAGATCAAGCAGAGGTGGGATAGAGACTCGCCACTTGACATGGAACACCTTAGCATGCTAAGGTGGGCCACCTACTCGACTATTCGACCTACTAATCTGCGAGCCCTGCAGTGGCAGATCATCCACAAGTGTCTACCCACCCCGGACTGGATTGTGTGGAGAACAAACTTGGAAGAACGGGGCGTGCTGTCCCCGCTCTGCACCTACTGCAGAGGGGCTTTCCCCAGGAAAAGAGCCACGCTTGAACACTGCTCGCTGGACTGCACTATGGTGGCCCAACTTTGGCAATGGTGGGATGCTGCATGGCACTATCTCATGGGCAGCCACCTGCCGTGGGACCTTAAGACCATCTTGCTGGGGGAAAAGCCCCCACAAGTGGCAACGTGGACACCCTTCAGCCTTAACTTGCTGGCAGTAACGCGACTGCCGATGTTAATGGCTGCCTGGCGGATGAGATGTGCATACGAGCACAGACAACACGCATATGGATATATGGAGGCTCGGGCCTCGATACTTGAGACAATCACCGTAAACACACAAGCGGCCTGGCAGGAACTCACAATAATGCTCCAGAAAGAACCAGACTTAACCAAAAGGAGCGAGCTTTCTGATAACTTTCGGACTGTCTGGGTGGACAACGCAGAGAGTCTTTGCGAACTAAATCAACTCAACCAGCTGCGGTGGAAGCAGTGGTGGGCTACGGAACCACAATGGGAACGCTTACCTAGAAGCCACTTTCAGTTATCGTTCCGACCGACCAACTTCATCATGCTCCCTGGCTTAAGTACACTGTAACCGCTCCCCCCTCCCTTCGGTGGTCCCCCCCCAGCGAACTGTCCCCGTCCCCGTTCCCCCCCCTCTCCCACCTCTACACCCACTTCCCGCCCCTCTCCCACCCACCCCTGCTCCTCTCATTCAAAGCCGGCCAAGCAGGGTCTTCCCCACTGGAGAATGCAGCTGAAGGGAACACCCCCTGGTGACAAGACGATGAGGTCATCGCCCACAGCCCATCACTGATGCCAGCCTACGCGGAGCTTTGGAAGGCGCCCGACAACGACTAGCAGACCTCAAGAATATTAGCTGGTTTCCCACAGCTGGGAGGCAGGGACAGGGTTACACAATCAAATTCTACTTCAAAGACAACGACACAATGTTCATCCACTGGTAGGGGGCTCTGGGAGGGCTGGAAGCAGGGGACAAGGGCTTTGGGAGGGCAGGAACTTAGTGGGGAAGAGACCGCCTAGCACTGCTGAAAGGGTTTTGGATCTTAAGGAAAGGTGGGAGGGTTTTGGGTCTTAGGGAAAGGTGGAATAGAGGGGGATTAAGGTTGGCACCCAATAAAGCATTGTAACGACCACACTGCTAGCATTCTACACACACAGCGACAGCCAATTGCCTTACGGTCAATTGCTTTGGCACCTACGGATCATAGCCACAACACAGGGATGAAACAGCACAATACGGTATATGGACTATTCCATAGCACACACAAGGCCACATCAAGGATAGCACTGACAGGGAGCTGGGTAGCTTACCGCCCACCTCCCCACAAACACACGGATCCTGCAAACTTCGTACTCACAGCGTAGATTACTTGGATCACATGGAAGTCCACAGCATGATTTACATTGTACATTGCAGGGACGCTGGACCCGATTTCCAGCAGGTGTTGCTCCCCACTAATAGATGGAGCCACCTCGACACTGCTAGGGGCGCCTGCTCGTACCAGCGTCCCTAGCAGCCGATCGGGCTGTTTCTTTAAAAAAAAAAAAAAAATAAAAATCCTGGGGATCTCAAAGACTTTC